GAATACATTTGACTTCGTTTAGCGTCGCTAGAGAAGATTGAGTATAACCTATGCAGTGACATGCGGTGACCTTCCAACGTATCAAATCAGTGCTACTATTCTTCCAGACAAGTCTTGTACCAATTACCTGACCTCGGAGGGATCGAAGGCTCGATGAGCACGAGGCGCGTGGTGGACCTAACAACTGCAAATGTGTTGCAGGGCCACCACTAACCAATGCACCACACCCACCCTAACTTGGTAATGAATAAAGTTTTTAATCAGTTTAATAGAAAACTTTTTATTTTTCAGTGAAAGGTGCCCTGCTTTGTCGAACGTGCAGAAATTTTGAAGCTCAGATGAAGGGAAAATAAAAATGCTAATGTGGTGATTTGTTTCAGAACTTGATGACTCTTCCTCTCTCTTTCTCATCTTAATTTATAAAACATCAGTATCCTTCAAAAAAAAATAATCGACTTTTTCCTTCTCGTGCAGTTCATGTAGTACTTAAGTCGTCTGAAACTGCGATAGAGATGAAAAAAGCGAAAGAGAGCCAGAACAACTCCAATAGAATTTCTTCTGAATGAGTGCAAAAATGATGCGCCATGGGTCAATGGGTTAAATCACTGCGGCTCTGAAGAAGGCGAAGAAGCCGATACGTTAACTTTCATAGAAATTTGATATGAAACTTGCGTAAGCCTGGTAATAAGATGACATAGAAATCATTGATACAAGGAAACCTTTTCGAAGTTCAACTAGCATGATCAAATTGTTCAAAAGACTTCCATATTCAGGCATACACACATGTATGAATATAGGAACATATGTGCATACACCGTACACCGACAGAATATATACATATAGAGATGCACATATATACACATACACACATGCATTCACATGCATACATACGCATTCGCACAACATCCACGCATGCACCTAGGCTCGTGAACGTATATGTGTACATACAGAGGCATAGATACACAAACATATACATGTAACTACGCAACATACATACACATGTAATTACGCATACATACACGTACACACACATGTGTCGCACGTATTCGTGCGTGTACACACACGTAGACACACATAAACACAGTCGTATAAAGGAACACTCAAACATACATATACATATATACACATACATATAATATACACACACCCACCCACCCACACACACACACACGCACATACACACACACATACGCATACACACGCACATGCACACATTTACACACGTCAATCGTTTTCTTCTCACTTATCTGATCAACAGTAGCTCGCCGGTGACTATACAAGCAACGAAGGCATGAAAACGAAGCCATAACAATTGAAGTCATTTCCTCATTTGATTAATTTCTTCACTTTTTTTAATGTTCTTTTTAAGAAAATATCATATCGGAGTGAGCATGGATGCTTTTAAACTTATAAAGGGAATTTCCATAATAATGGCTCTAATGAGTAGCAGCTTTAAAAATTTTTAAGCTGCTCACCTCTATTATGTCTCAAAAGGATGCGATCTCAGAAATGCCTTTCCATCTATTTTGAACTTCTTACCTGCATGAGCGAAAACGAGGCGGGAAAGAAGTAAAGCAAATAGAAGGAACGATTAATGATGACTTATAAGCTGCCCATTGAAATAGACGTCAATGATTGCTGCATTAACGGTGTTGACGATAAGATAAGTGATGACATTGTTAATGGTAAACAGAAAAAAAAGAAGAAAGAGGAAGAGTAAATGAAGGAAAGTAAATGGAGAAACCATAAAAAAGAAGAAGAATAAAGGAGAATGACTGAAGCAATTTGAGCGATGTTGTGTAAGCTTGCTTGATTAAAAAAACATCTTCACTGAAGCATTCGTGTTGATGAAGTTCGGTCAAGGAACGCGTTGTCGTTTGGAATTAACGATGATCTTCGACACGACATCATCAACGGCGAAGGCGACAACGACGACGACGGCGTCAGAAGCGATGTGGTGACTTACGCTGGCCTCTGATCAATAGATTCTATGAGGTGTAGACGTACAATTCGCACACAACATTGCCGTTACGAGTAAACACGCTCATAAAAATGAACGATAGCTTGATTATCCTGTTTTACCAATTTTTCATGCCTATCGATTTTTAACGATGTCCAGAATGAATTAATGACGGAGGAAAGAGAAAGTAAAAAAGGAGTGATAAATGTCAGAGAGGAAGATTACGACGGATATTTCGGATGTAACAATGCACATCTCCATCATTGCTTCTCTTAACCTTCCTAATATCTTGTTTAAATCGTTACTAACTTCATTATTTGATGCTCTACTAATGAGTTATGAATAATGAACAACACTTGTAAATTTGGATGGTCCCTCTTCTTAATGAACCGCGATTCGAACTATAGCGTATCAGTTTACTTCTGATTCGTATTTTGCTGCTCAAGCAATTTTTTTACCGGGGACCGATGATAGACGTACCAGGACGTTCCAAAGTCGTTCGTCATATCAGAGGCAGTTAGTGAGCCTTATGAATCGGAAAGAGTTTCGCTGCTTAGTAATTGGTAGATTTCTTCGAAGGGAATACGATTTTCAGTATGAACAGGATGATTTCATTATCCTTCGGATGAATATGTCGATCACTTTGTTAGCCTAGGAGACGTATTGGGAAAACAACCTCCTCACTAGGCAGCATAGTTCGAGGAACACCACAGAAACACCCATAAATCATAATGTAGGCAGGCGACGACGTAAACTGGAGCTCTATTGCTCATGGTGTTTGTAGCAGGTGCTGACAGTTCTCAATCTAAATTAACTTTTTCACCTCATTTTTAACCCTCAAGTAAACGCTTCCCTTCCACATTGTAGGGTGTTTAGTGAATTTTATAAAGAGTTATAACCAAGCAAAAATCGTATTTTATCGTTTGCAGCGGCCTTTTTCTTTTTCTGATTAATTTCTTTCACCAATTCAGAGGCAGCGATAGACATAAACTGCTCTATCTTTAGGGAAATCCCCAAGAACAACAAAAAGGGCTAAAAATTGGATCTGAGAAGAGAACTACATATGAAAGTATCTAGTAGTATGTCCACTTGAAATAAAATAAAAAGTTGTAAACAAGTAAATAAAAGAAATAATTGTATAAGAACTCTCGACGTTGAGCATTTCCTTAGGGATGACTATGCATTTGATTTCATTAACCATAGTTAGAGGTAGTTGAATGCATATCTGGCCTATGTAATGACGTTTAATGGACTACCGATGTGTCAAATCAATGCTGTTATCTTCCCATAAAAGTCTAATATCAATTTTCTGACTCCAGAGCGATGGAATGAACGACTTATGATCTCTGGACGCCGGATCGAATTAAAGAGTGAGTGCGTATTGCACGGAACCTCTAGCCACTGCGCTACACACAGCCTCAAATTAAATATATATAGAATATAATATAGAATATAATACGATGTCGATAATTATTGCATACTAAAAGCCGATAACACAACTCTAAAACATGGCTGATTTCCTACCACTTCACATAGGCAGTGACTTTACCATATAAAAATAAAAAGCCGCTGCTTTTCAATCGAATCTTTTTCCTTTAGAAAAATGAATAGCCAGGATGTTTCGATGCGATATCCTCGGTTCCGAGGAAGACGACGTACCATAATGTTTCTTCTCCTTTTACAGAAGAAATCATTGCCGATGTAGGGAAACGTCGTCTTCGTTTACGCTTTTTTAAAACTAGTAGATGCTGATTTTAACTTCTATTCGCTACCTATTATGTCTTCACAGGAGGATGTGATGTGAAATACAACCACAATGATGTTGAGATATTCGGACAAAACCAGACCTTTCTTCGCTTCTTCTTTGCTCTGGTAAATTTTCTATTTTAAATTTACAACTTTCTAATAACCTACTAGCTTGTGTCCTTTTCGTTGGCAAAGTTAGCAGACCTAAAATCACTTGTCAATCATCGGAGACATCGAATAACTTAGTTCGCTTGGAGTGTGGTCAAACCAGCGATCGTCTTCAGCAGAGAGCCATCGCATCAACAACAATGACTAGATTTATGTAAAGAATGATTTATGTAAAGAAAAATGAAAATGATAAAAGAAAAAATAAAATGATTTAATAAAGATTTATGGAAAGAATGATATTTGGAGGATTTTCTGAACACTTTTATCACGTCCAAATAAGGATTTATTTAAATGCTTATTTGGACGTGATAAAAGTGTTCAGAAAATCCTCCAAATATCATTCTTTACAAGTGAACGCTCCACCTTAAGAAACTCCATTTATTTTTAGCTAATAACAATAGAACTAATTTTCATCGTTAAACGGACTTTTCTTTCAAAACACCTGTGTAAAAGAGAGGATGTTTTGTCAAACTCTGTAGCATTCGTTAAACAATGAACTAATTCGAATTTAAAAAATAACACGGAAAGTGCAATAGTTAGAAACGCAGCGCAGTATCACTCGTGGTTGCTGAATCGACCTCGTCACAAGTCAACAAATCTTTCCAGCTCTTCGATGTCAGCGAATTAGGACCAAAGTTGTCTGGGAACATTCCTTGCAGTCTACAAAAGTTGTCGACATCCTCTGGGAGTAAGGATCTAACGGGACTCCACCAGGATTCAACCACAACGATGCTAGGGTGCTCGAAAAACTTAGACACCGGGTCAAATCGAACCACGATTTGCACTTCCGGGAGCTCTCGCATTAGACGCTGCGCCACAGAAGCCCTTATTCTGCGTTTCTATCAGCTAGTTTTCTATCTACCCTACCAATGCCAACGGCCAGAATTTCCAGACTGCAATGATGAACTCGACCATCATTTAAAGAAACTCGGAAAAATAGGCCCAGAATCAGAAACCCAAAGACTTTCGCAATAAATAGAATGGAACAAGTGCTGGGTTCTGCATGATTTTTGAAAGCAGACAGTATAAATGAATAATTTGATAGAGAGTGATGATGTTTGGAGACGTTTAGATAGATATGGTGGGCTATTATTGATGACGTAATGTAGGAGGTGAGATGAATGATCTAATTTAAAGGCGGTTCAGTGCGGCGATGCCGATGACCAACAGTGGGCACGGCCGCGATGCGACGGTCGCGCGGCCTCCGCGGCTGCGGACAACTGTTACAAATGGCGGCGACGAGAGCTTCGCCGCGTAGTGGGGGTCCGACGGCAATCGTTCGTAAACGGGCGGATTCGAATGCCGACAGAAGGCGATCCATCACCTATAGTCACCACACATCGCTTCACTCTTCTGAGGTCACCAGAACTCTGCTAACCAAACAGGCAGGGTTTGAGTGAAGGAATTGGCTTTGTCGAGACTAGTCATCTGAAGAAGATTGATCCATTTTTGATGCTATTTTTCGATTAATGGCGGTTAGAAGATCCTAGTCTTCTCGACATCTTGGAAAAAAACCAGGATCTAAGCGGTAATTAAATCCGATATATTCAAATATAATCGTTTGTTGATAAATGTAACAAAAAAAAGCGGTAGTAGTAATGCATGTCTGATCAATTAACGGTTATAATTTTTTTGTCATGCTAGCATCGATTACTTATTAGAAATTATGGGAAAAAATGATAACGCAACAGTTTTTGAATTTTCATACAATCGTGAAACTCACCAAAGATTTTCATTTCATCATTTTCGATTTTTTAATAGCGCAAGTTTTTCAAAGCACTTCAAAGATAGCAAAAATCTCAGCCGAACTGAAATAGAATAAAATCCGAACTAGAGGTGTCTAAAAATATAACATGGAAGTAAATCGATGTTTCAAGGCCGACCGGGGAAAAAGTGTTGGAACATTCGCATACAAAGTTCTAAAGGCGTCTTCATTTTGAAAAGATGAAGAAAACGAGCTGAGAAAGATGTCCGGTGATCAGATAAGCTATGTGATTGTAAAATATCCCTGCAATAGTCATTTAGAGAAGCAATACAGAAGTATCTTTACAGTAAGACACTGAATATCTGCTTCTTAGTGTCGTTTTGCTCGCGGTTTGTTTTAGCTCTTCAGTAGCCCTCGTTTTTCTTAGAATGCCAGGTATTTTTATCTATCTCAGTACGTTTAAGCAAGAAGGAAGCTTACCTTACCAGTTACCGATTGCCCAATGAAAAAAAAAACTTTTCATAAACACCATGTATTAATCATGCCGTAATAAAGGTAGCGGTTCCTTCCTGTAAGCTAAAAATTATTAACAGCATTATCAAGAAGTTATCAGAGTAATCATCAGACAGATTTGGTATCCATATTTTTGAGTGGGACCTTTGAAGACGTTCAACCATTTCATTACACAACGGATTGCTCATACAGGAGGAGATGAGTCTCCTGTTGAATGTGCCACATAGTCATCATATCGACGATTTCAGGAGTTATGAAAGGAAGAGATGAAGAAAATAAAAATTCTAGTCATTGGAATCCACTACAATTATGGAAAAGTGTACAGCATGAGGAGGGAACTTAGATGAATCGCTGTATAACACACTCTGCAATGCTAAGGCAGATCTGGTCTGCAAGCACCGAAATAAAAATACGTGAAATAGTAACAGGAAGCCTGGCGAACTTTGTGAAGAAAGTGGGAAAGTGGTACAAATCAACGAGAAAGTGGTTTCAAGCGATATTGTTATCTGGTGGTTTGCTTTCGTGTTAAAACCGTCAAGTAGTTTTCACTCAACAATCGGTGGGTAGTCGTTTGTAATTTTCATTTTAGCTCACTTGAGGATTTGGATAAATTCAGGAAAAAGGAAAAAATTAAAATCTTTACTTTACCGAATATTTTTAGTAGTTTGACGAAATAGTCAACATGATGGCTTGTTAGTGTTTTTATAGCAGACGGTAATAGTAAACTTTCATCCCACTTCTTCGCCTTGTACTGTTTCTCAGTTGAGTTCAACTTTTTCGACATAAAATTGCAAATTCTCTGAAAACTTCCGAGGAAATTTTTGCTACTATCATTTTTCAATTGTCTCCAAAGAGGAAAAGAGTATACTTCTTTATAAAATTTAGTACTGGTTTGAACACTACCGTAATCTCGAATTATGCCCAAGCAACTGTCATTGGTCAGTCAGAATGATCAAAATTTCAATACTTCCCTGAATAGTTCATTCTGCAAAGTTTTGAGACCATTTTGCATGAGTGAGATTTTTACAACAACGGAATTCTTAATGTTCTGAAATAATTATTATGGTATCGTACGCCTATCGTAGCTGTTGGAGCGACAATGACATGTGCAACTTTCTTTTCTCACTGTCCTTCTGCAATGGCCCGGATTATCGCGGTCAAGTTATGATGTTGTAAATGAAGCCTTCTTCTGTTGTAGCTGTTGTTGTTATCTTCTGCACGAATATGTTCTCGGTCGATGTTGAATAGAGCAGATGCCACGGTTAATCCCTTTGCTTACGTCGGGTCTGGCACCGTTACGCTTGGTCTTAGGGGTGATGGATGCGTTCGGCATTGAAGCTGGCCAGCAACTGCACACCACCCAGTCGAGGCCGAACCGACCGACACCGGTTGATCGACGTCGCCTGACGAGATCGATATCGAAAAGAAAAACATCGAATCGATATTTGTACTTTGTCCAATCTTTCCACAATAGTCGTGCATTGCTTTGCATGTACCACACCAGAAGCGTACGAGAGGAGTCTACACTTCTTCTTCCCCGGGTTTTTTCTCGTACGAGTTCCAATATGTATCAAAATTGTAAACAAAACTTCGCCCAGGGCGTACGAAGCTTCGCCTTGTGTTAATAGCTGGAAAGAGGACTCGACGAAACGAAAGGAGCACACTGTAGTGTGGGGGCGAGCATTCGAATGTTCGACTATTCGACGATTCTTAAGAACTGGACTATCAAAATAGCTGCCCAGGTCTTACGCTTTTGAGTGTATTTCCTTTAAACGGGAAAGAATAACAGTGTCTAGCAATTTAAGTGGCATATACTTGAGTTTTTAAAATTCCAGTTTATTAGGTATTTCAAATAGTTTTATGAAATATGGTTAAGAAAAGTTGGAAAAGTTTACTCTTTCTCTGGGTGTCAGTTAACTCCTATAATATTCATTAGTGAACTTAAGCTTACTATGAATACCTTGGACGTCGTGCAACTTCAATTTGATCCGAATACTGTCGAATATTCGAAGTTTCGATCGCCAGATTACGACTCAAACCTCCTATCGATTTCCAATGCTAACAGTAGTAGCAGTATAATCATTTGATATCCTCTGTGAAGAAAAATTTTTTGAATTTTTTTACCACAATAATCTTTTATGACGAGGAGAATCACCATTTGTTCTAAGCACACATCGTGCTAGTAAAATTACTACCCAATTGCGACAAGAAGTCCGAAAAGGAAGGAAATTGGAAAACTCTAACATAAGAATTTTGCGTCGTTGACAGGTGATTGCTGATGGCACTGGTAGATAGAAAACTAGCTGAAAGAAGCGCAAGGTAAGACCCTCCGTGAGGCAGTGTGTAATGTACCAGCCACAGGAAAGAGAAATCGTGGTTCGATCTAGCCCGGGGTCCAGGTTTTGCCAATATCTCAGCATCGTTGTGGTTAACAATTTCGTTTCAAATATCTAATAGAAAATGTTTGAGACTACGCAAAACTTTTGATTCCTAAACTTTCTCTAGAGAGGTGTTCAATTATATTTAAACCTTGAGAAAAACTAATGAAACCATGAACACTTCAGTATTAAGCAAAAAAGGAGCTATAATGAATCCACTCCGTTTAGATCAAGAAAACATGAACAGTCTTCATTTGATTGTTAAAGCAGTAGCTAAGCCCGGTTACTATATATCATCAGAGAATCAAAAACGGAATAATAAAGACAATTCTACGCACGCTTACGTCTTTGACGGATTTGTTTGTCTGAATAAAACTATCTGGAAAAATACCATTCTTGTCTAGCGATTATGTTATCGCTTTAAATCCACCTCGTTAGTTTCATCTAAATAATTACCAATGTGATTTGGCCATTTCTCGTGCTGTATCCATAAATATTATCAAGGCTAGCGTCGGAAAACTCCTGAAGTCTTTCCAACGTTATCTTATTCTCGTGAATTTTCTACCAATGGAAAAGTTCGGCGTCACTAAAACACACTACATCGTTGTTGTTTTTTTCTCTCTAAAATTCTTGAAGGGTCATGGAAAAGAGGTAAAGAGGTAGTTAAATGAAGAGCTAAAACGTGTGTTTCTGTAGTTATAATGTACATTTTGGTGATTTGTGGAAATTTATAGGACCGTAATCCTTAATGCCTGCTATCAAATCATTTCTAGAAGACTTCAGATTTTAGATTCGTTGCTATAACGAGACAATCTTTAGCCCTTTTATCTCTTCAAAAGGCTTCTCTCTGTCGGCGGTTACGAAATCCAACAGATTTATTCCTGAGCTAACAAGCGGCTCGTTAGATCTCTGTAATCATCCCAATATTTTACGGCCCTTGTAAAATGTTTGCCCACTAGGACCACAATTTAGGTCACTCAGACAGCATTCAATATTATTAGAGTCACTATTATTACAAGTAATAGTGCTAATATTCTCGCTGCTAATCATATTGCCATCGTCATTACTACAATATTTTGCCTTCTTCATACGAGTTACTTCGTGCTGGTTAGTCATGGGGACGCAGCGCATCCCTTGTGAGGTGGATAGAGGTTCTAACGTGGACCAGGAACGAAAACCAGTGGAGAAATGTTAATGTGGCCAAAAAATAGATTGCTTGTTCTTTGTCTACAGACTTGACTTATGCCTTTCATATTCACTTAATCAATCAAGCAAGAAGAGGATCCGCAACAGATCTCCAAGAAGCTATAGTCGATCCCATACACAAAAGCGCCTAATTCTGTCGATGACGATTACAAAAGAGCGACTATTGAAAGAAATTCTCGCATAATCACAACATTTAAGGATGTGTAATCAAACTGCCTAAGTGGAGCAGACATATAAGGAGTTCGAATACTTTAACGAGAAAACCAGTAAAGTAGATAGGTTTCCTAAGCAATCCATTTAAAATAAAAAGCTCACCAGAAGTGTGCTACTGAATAGCGAAGCGAGACGAAATGAATGCTGAAGAGGGTCAAGGTGGTGAAGGAAGAATTTTCGTTGGCCGCTGCTTGTGTCATTGTTATCACCGATCGCCCTTGGTATATGTTATTGAAGGCACTCTCGCAATTGACAATGACAAATGACACCGTAATCACATCAGCATCATCAAAAGAAAAACTTAGTGATTGTTATCAACATGGACCTCATGGGAAGCCAGTAGTCAGCGATTATCATCACCGACGTGGTCACCGAGCTAATAAATTTTGTGCGATCATCATCTATTTGTTGCTAACGATCTGCACAAGTTTTCAAGTTTTAATATAGCACTTTCGAGCTGTCCTTCATGTAATTCCCATGACCGACTTTTCATAAACTGTGGCTTTGATGGGCAATTCGCTGTAGATTGTTGTTAATCAACGAATTACTGTTCTCTTTGTCTTCCTCACTTGAAAATACGACTGCCGGTAAAGTTGACAGTAAGGAAATTAGTGAAGAATACCCTTTCACCGACGGCAAAAACACACACAAAAGAATTTTCTCCAAAGCATTAGCCTGATTCTAGCCTGCTTCTATTCTCAAGTGTTATATCACCACGCGTCATTATGACTCTAGAATAAAATCGTTCGTGTTACTGCTAGGTTTCTTACGATCTATAATGACTAAGCTAGTCTATTCTCTACTCTTATGAATGGTATCTGAAAAGTGATTTACTCCTAGTTGTGCTCTCACTTGCTAGAAGGGAGCCCTTTCTCAGTGTTACAAGTTCGGTGAAACTTCTTTATTCGCCGCGGTCAATGACCACATATTAACTTTAAAATTCTAACATAATCTTTAACAACTTGAGTACCAACCTGTTTCAAATCGGCTATTGTTCGCCAAAATAAAAACTGCAAAGCACATTTCTCAATGCATCTAGACTTTTATCAATTTTCGTTCAATGATTTACCGTCTCATAGTGGTATTTTGGATGTTACTGAGTATTAAATTGCAGTAAAAATAACAGGCTAGTTCTCTAACATAGTTAAAGAACAAAAGGAAAAAAGCTAGACATATAATGAACTAATATGAGTGGCCAGGAATTCCCTTCCACAAGAGTAATCTCGTGTCAAAATCTGTCGCCTAGTGAGGTAAGCCCTGTCGCAAGGAGCTATCACAAATGCTTGCTTAATTCCAAAAAATACTGCTTTTTATTCTTTATTCTACTTACACTTTACTGTTGTTACTGTCTTATGTCTTATGTCTTACTCTCATACCTGTCTTACGCGGTAAAGTGCTGGAAATACGGAATCACGCGAGAAGTAAACTTTGTGGTAACTTCACTGCTGAAAGAAATCAAATACCTTGGAAAGCACTTCTTTTCAAGAAGTAGGAAGAACATAAAGAGCATCATTAGTGAAGAGAGGCAGATTCTTTTGGATCTCAGGAAGAGAATTACATGGCGTTCGGATGTTGTTGGTCGTTCCCTAAGGAGACTAGCAGCCAACTGCATTCGCCCGAATTGAATGCTTAAACCAAGAAGTCGATTATGGACATTAATTTAAAGCTGACGGCTATTCCCATGTGGGGAAACGTCGTGCGAAAGTGACTCCCAACGGGAAATCACTACCAAAAGTCTGAATGGGGGCAAATAGAAGGAGAAAGAAGGCGAAAACTAACATGTAACAATCAATACAGAGGCAAATAGAGAACGATAAACAGTCATGTCGTATAAGTGCTTATCAAGACGAGACGAGTGCCTGGTAATTTAGTTGATAAGAATAATCATAATCTTCTGCTGGAAAAATCGCCCATTGCTCAGCTGTTTGAGAATTGCTGATCTAAACGAAGGGAACGGTAGCTGCATTGTGATATAAAGGTTTGAAAAAGAGAGGTTGTCTGTGCATCGCTTTTTTCTTCCTACTAGCTTTACTGTTCTTCGAAATCTTTGATAAAATGGAGATTTATACTAAACAACGAAGTGTTTTTGAAAAATTTAGCTTCTTATAAAGAGATCTTGTTTGGATGTAAACATCTCGCTAACCTTGCAATGAAATGCATCCATTCAAAGAAATAGTAAACCAAAAACAACAAAGAAAGAAAGAAGATAATTGAGAAACCGTTGGCTGCTTTAATATGATGTAAAGAATATCTCGAGCTAACCCAGAAATATGGCTTTGTGTTTAACAAGCGATTCGTTTTAATTCTTTCCTCCTACTTTTAAATTAATTTTAATGGCGCAAAATACTTAAGTAATCAAGAAAGACTTGTCGATAAACGAAGTTCTTCGGTCCCCTAAAGGACCATCACGACGGTTCGCTCGTAAAATATAGACGATAAATCGGTACTGCCCAACGCACAGAACTGACATCATCTAAGACACAATTCTCACTTTCTTTTTTCTTTTGAATTCCATCTGAATCAACCTCCTTTTGCGCTCATCAACAACAACAGGCTGGAGCGCTGTCGATGACGACCGCGATGGCGATGGTCGGCTAGGACAGCGAGCGGGTCGGCTGGTCAGCCGAATGATGAAGGGACGTTCCAGCCGGCCGGCCTAACTCGACCAGGAAAGGTCTTCGACAATGATGAATGC